AGGCATTTCCAGTACTAAAGTGGTACAATCCAGCCAGGAGCGAAAGCGAGGCACCGTACGAAAGTTGTATTAACATCCAGACTGATGGGTTATTATTTGGGAATTTTGCGTTTTTTACAATCCCAAGTGGCGGATGCTCATCAGACATTTATTGCAGCATGCGCGGGCGCACCAGAGTGGAGGGCCAGTGAACTTCTGAAATTTCTGACCTCTGCACAGCAGACGACTCCGGCTTCAACATTGTGTTACATGACATTGCGTAGAATTCCAGCCCGGCAGCAGTAGCACATAGGTGGTCCTGAGTGCACTGTCAGCGGTCGTGCAGGAACCTTCCCCGATGTTTGCGAGCACCTTCCAATGTGGCAAGTGACGCTCGGTCATCTTGTTTGATGTTCTACCGAGATTTTAGCGCTGTCTGGCAAGTTGACCTTGAGCAAAAGTGAGTAGGTTCAGGTTGTAGTCTGACACCGTCCAGGACCTGCAGGACATCTCCCTGCACGTGCATCAGCTGGCAGTGGGCGATCATCCAGGACATTCCCTTGAGCAGAGAGGGAACAGGACACGGCAGACGTGCCAGGTAAGAAGTCCGGATTGGCCCTCCTCCTACCCGAGGAGGTCTCGGAGTGATGTCTTCGCCGGCCTTGGCTCTCCTTGGCTGTGTCCTTGTGAGGTGCCGGTCGGAGCCTGGAGCTTCTCACTGCTGCCCCCAGGATTTCCGAGCAGACTTGCAGTGTCACAGGGGAACTGCATGGCACCCCATGCCTGCAGAGCAAACGCATTGCTGCAGACAGTCTCAGTCTCAATGTAATGCTGGCACGCATGGGTTCTGCACAGTATCGAAGCGCAGCGCAACAGATGAGATTATGATGTTTAACTCAGCTGCCGATCGATGCCACACTGCGTGCACTTCCCGCACGATGTAGTGCTGCAGTGTCAAGGGTTCGTCCAGGACACGAACAACCAATCCTGGCAAAGGCATCGGTTGATGTCATCTGGTTCTTGGCATCAAATTTGTTGATGCCGTGTTGACTGCCTTTGGTTCGAGGTGAAGCCTGCGACGCCTGGCTGCCCAATCAAGCTGACGTCCCAGCAATGGGAAGACCTCAAGGCCACCTATACTCAGCCTCGTGTTCGACTGTTCGAAGATCAACACTGCGTCGAGCACAGGTGTGGACACAGCTGTGCTTAGAGATTGCCCGTTGCGATAGGAGCCTTGTGCGGTGAGATGGGCGGATAACATTGCCAAAAAGGGTGCAGGGCATTCCGTCATCGGTTTCAGGAGCTGCCCGCTCCATCAGTGCTTTGGCCAGCCGATGCTGACAAGGTGGAAGGCCTCAGCTCCCCGGATCGTTGCTGCGTGTCGGCTTTCCAAGCTGACGAACGTGGCCAGGACCGATCAGGAAAATGGTTACCAGCAGAAAGAACTGAAGTCCCAGACGACAAGGACGCCCCTCTCCAAATTTAGCCTCCGGCTATGCAAGCTTCAACCGAAAAAGCTCACGAACGAAAGACCTCTCCACGCTTCGCAGTGTCTCAGCTTCGGCGCAAAGCCATTGAGCTACGCGAGGATCTTCCCGAACGTTCCTTCTGGCTGCTAGCGCCACTGGCGTCGGCAGACGAAGAAAGTGCAAAGGCTGCGAGCTTGCGCGGACTCGGGCGAGGGTTTGGCAACTTTGGGCGATCCGTTTCAGGAGATTTCCTGGAGTTGTCTTTCATGGGCCCTTGCCGCCCTGGCCCAGTTCCGAGAGCCGCTCGGAACAGATTGCGGTTTCAGCGTGATCAGTGATCTCATGACCGTTATGACCCTGAAGTCTGAAGGTCAGAATCTTGGCTGCAGCTCGGAAGCAGACAGGCATTCGCTGTAAGTGGCCTCGCTTGTGAGACGTCTTGCAAGGTCCATGCCCAGGACCTGGCTCGGGAAACTTGATCCTGCTCGTCCTGAAATGGCAGTGGCCTGAGTGTGGGATAAGTCTCTAGAAGTGCTTCAAAGTTCCAGAACACGAAAAGCGCTCAAACCGAAAAGTGGGCCTGCAGGCCAAGCCGCTTTTTTCTGGGTTCGCCTTTCGGGTATTTTTTATTTTCTCTGTGCTTCGGGATGCTTGTTGCTGAGCTGCCGTTTGGCTTCTAGTAGCATCCCAGCTTTGATCATGTGTCGCTATCGTCGTAGTAGGAAGACCCAGCTTTCGATCATGCATCGCTGTCGTCGTCGTCGTCGT